AGTAGTGGTTCTTACAAAAGCCTTCTCCATTTTCGTGAAACCGCGCAATCATTCCAAATAATCACACCAACAAGCATCGGATAACCCAAACGAGTTTTTTTGTGGTTCTGAGCTATGTTTGTGCTCTTATTATGAATTTCGAAATTTCTTCTTTGGTAAACATTTTAAAAGAATCGATTTTTGGCATTTGCTTTTATGTGAGCGTCTTAACTCCATTGAAAACCCCAATTTATCTCCTAACCAGTTGCGCACCATTACGAGTTTAGACATTCGACTAAGAGTACTAGGAGCCCAATTCCTTGAGCCCGAGGAACTATCCAAACTCCCCATCGAAGAGGTACTGTATTTCATCAAGACTACAGGGCTCTTAGGGACACCGCAGATACAACAGAAATACTAAAGCAATAGTCTAATTAAATGTTCTAGTCCCATAGATCCTTAACTGGTTTAACCGCAGATGGAATAGAAATACTGAAATTAACGTCTAACTAAATTCAAACATATTCAAAATGAAAAAAAAATGTTTCAGTCTACGGATACTATGAACAACTAATACTTTGCAAATTTCAGCACGATGACACAATTTTTCCCATTTTCCCTACACTGCCACATGTGTAAAAAATAGAAAAAGTAAATTGGGACGACTTTGAAAAATACATCCCTCTTGAAATTAAACCCCAAAAAACCTGTCTTTTCAAATTTTGAAAAATCTTATAGGGATAAAAACAATTTTTAGTCTTGCTGGTGCTTCATAAAAAAATAAAATTATTCAAAGCTTAAATTTTGTATATTTTATATATATTTATATGTCGAAAAAAAACCTAAATGAAAACTGGTAAAATTTTCGAAAATAGCCCGACTTTTACCACAAACACTTTACAATGATAAGAGAGGAAACAAAAATGAAAGTGTCATCTGGACTATATATAAAATTTAAAACAGTTCCAACAAGTTCCATCTGAGTGAAGATCGCTATTTCTTTGAGGAATTTAGAAAAGATTACTTTAAAACTAAGATATTGATCTATTTTCGAAAAATTGCAAAAATAAAGGTAAAGGTAAATTCTATATACCGTCGTCAGTGAAAAACGTACGGTTAACCGTTTTGACTTGAATGCTATACTAACATTTTATACTTGAACATTGAACATTTCCATAAAAACACTTATAAGTTTTTGATTTTTTAGTCATAAATATAAAACCAATGTGCATCGACTTTCGTTAATATATTGTCATGGCAAAAAATCGGAAACTGAATTTTCTGCTTTGCAATTGAAAAAACCATCCTAAACCTGAGAACAAGATACAAGACATTAAAAAAATCGTCCATTAAAAGGAAACCCCTCCCCATATCAAAAATCCTCAGACAACGTAGATAATTAATTTTTATGTACTTCTTGCCGTCTCTCTAGACATCGTCCACAATGACGATACAAACTTTCCGCCCATTCGTCCGGCCGTAGTGGTTTTCCATTTTCATCATTCTTTCCGTGTATACCGTAATTGCCATGTGCCAATCAATAACAATTACTTTTTCTTTTTTAACGTAAACATCGCCAATGTTTGTGTGGATCGCCATAGAAAAATTACCTCGTTGGCTTATCGATTTGCTGCGAGCAAAAATATACCAGTGCCGTAGTCAGCTTACAAGGTGCACCAAGATTGTTGAAAAAATTGTGTTTTGTTCCTCTATATTTAAGTTAAATCGATAGAATTTATGACAAATATAGGTATTAAGTATATTGGTCTGTGAGTTGCGGGGCATTAGTATTGACAGAGAGAGACACGGGACATTTTTGGAAGCTGTGTATTTTGACACAACCCACGTATCTCGGTTCTTTTGAAGCTTATCAGAAAAGTAAATAGTGTTTTTTACGCAGAATTAAGTGGCACAATCTTTTTTTTTCTATATTCAAACATTTTTTCGTTATTCTATTTGAGTTTTTATTTAATTTAACAAAGAACACTTTTGGAAATTTTTATTTAACGTAAAAAAATATACATTTTTAGATTTCTAATATAATAAAACTAGTCATTAAAGAAATTTACAAAAAAAAAGAATCTGGTATATATGGAACAAGTGTTGCTCAAATTGTTCTCCATTATGTTTCACACATGGTTCTTATGCGTGTATTATTGAATTTAATAGTATATTATGCAACAAGTGCGGTAAACGGCAATTTTACCGAACGTGTTGCATACTATACTTTATTTACAACCGTTAGTTTTTTGGTACATTTTGGCAAAACAACATGAACACATTCAGTCAGAATTAACAAACGTCCAAATTCAAGGCGTGGGAAATATCTCCGAAAACATCCGATATAACGGCATTTTCAGAATTTACTTTATATAACAAACTACAAAACTCTATTCGGCGCAACATCCAGGATGTAAGTTTAGAAACAGATGAAATTTATATTGTTTGAATTTGTGTTTTTTCAAGAAGCCGTTATTTGATAATTCCCACAGAACCTCCCACTTTCATGCAAGAACCACTTGGATTTATTACGATTGAAGCCAATACATTAATTTTATCAATCTTCTTGTTTTCATAGTTGTAAGTATTGTGTCGGGGTTCGCAAAATGATTGATTGAATTAAATTTTATTTCAACCTTAAAAAACTTCTCTTATTCTGCTTTTCGCATATATATTATCATAAATAGTTTTGACTAGAAGAAACTGAAGTAATGCAAACCGGTTAAAATTGACTTCTAAACCCAACTATATTTTAAATCAGAATTGTGTTGCTCTAACACGAAAAATATTCTAAAAATTAAACCACATCAAGTTTGAACTCTCTTCCTAAGTGATTTTTTTGCTAATTTTTTATAATGCTACGCCTCATTATTTTAGTGCAAATTATTATAACTATTAGTGTATTAGTATTAGTTAGGTTTATATCTTATATGAAAAGCGATGGGGAGAGGTTTGATATCGATGGAAAAGTCAACCCAATTAATATATTTCACACAAGTTATGCGGTTAATATTAAAAAGAAAATGGTACAATGTCTGTTTTTTACCATAGAACACAACCAAAACATCACAATAAGCTAAATACTACTAAATCAAAACTTTTATTTCAAAAGAATGAAAGTACATTTATTCTTGTATGAATAGAGCGGAGGTTAACAAATTGTTTTATACCTCCGATTCAGGAATTCTTGGCAAAAACTGACTACATAACTCAGATCCTCGCGTAAATGTTTGATTAACTTTTCTCGAGGTGCGGTTATAAGTATTAAAATTTTTGAAAATTTGAATATAAATCAGAGACTAAAATAACCCGTAACCTATTCGGCAGTACAATTTTCTCATCATTTAAAAATTAGCTCAGAAATACTTGTGATGTCGCTTCTCCGAAAACGCAGAACAATGAACACCCTGTCTTAAGGTCTTAAGACTTTAATTAATGAACTCAGCGAAACTAAACGCACAACACAACTCCGCTAAAGTTGCACGCATTGCGTGCCAAATCGGTTAGTTCGGAAAATAGCTAATTAAAAAGTAAGGAAAATGGCTGAATCCCTGGTTTAGCTTTACGCACATTTGACCCCCTCTGCAATTCCCAGAGAAGACCGCTATAATGGCAGCGGATTATAAAGATAAGAAGGACAACTTCCGTGAGTTATAATTTCAAGACCCTCTTTTTGCCTTTTTTAACTGCATTGGACACGCACGGCAGAAAAATTCGTAAAAATAAAGAGGGGATGTGTAGATAATGTAGAAAATTATGTTTTTAACTGCAGTAGACTGAAAAAGCTCAATCACATGTTACAGCGCACTGCGTTGAAAGCTAAAGTTGTATCACATGTCACCGGGCATAAGTTTCAATAACCGATAAGTTGTCTTGAGTATTTTCCAAAAAGGAAATGGATATGAAACCTCAAATGGCACTATAAACGTTAGTATCAACATGATAGATAAGCGAATACGTTATGTTCTGTAAATATGTGAAATGAATTTTAATTCCTTACAAAGGTATTGTTGTTTGTTTATTTTGATAGCATTTTTTATCTGGCGCTTGAAGAAAAGATCGTTCGATTAGGAGGAAATTTTTTCTATAAACGTACAGGAATTTTAAGTTAAAATTAAATAATAACAATTCTAAATTCACTGATTCATTAAAATTAACAAAATTCGTAAAATTAAAATACAAAGCCTGTCAAAGCTCTAAAAGGCAGAAGTCTAAAAAGCATTGAAACTGAAGCCAATTGAAAACTAAAATGGGTATTGTATAAATTGATATTTATTTTTCGATTGTTATAGTGTGTTGAAATACTGATTCTTTTTAATTTTATTTTTTGACAACATAAGAAAGTATTGCTTTAAAAACTATAACTGACCTATGTTTGTGTTTAAATTATTCAATTAAAATAATTGCACATTCTTAAATGTATATCTTTGCGAACTCACAGAAAATGAATTTTATAGAAATATTCTCAAAAACTTTAACCAAACTAACTATTTTACATTAACAAATCAAATAACAAATACGAAGAAATCATTCATAAAATATGTTCTTACAATTAATTCTCAGTCTCTCGATGAGTAAAAAGTGAGGTTAAGACTGCCAGCGATGAAATTTTAGTAGCATCTTAAGGAAGAGAAACCGATTTATTTTATTTTTTTCCTATATTATGTTACTTGAAAGGAGGAATATCTCTGTGTAAAAGGCGCTTTCAAGACATAGCGACAAAGTCATAAAATGTACCTTCCTATAATTTTTCCTCGACGAATCACCCAAAATTACCGTCCATAAATTAATAGTGTGCGACGGGAATGCATTATCGACACGGAATTTTGCCACTAACTGCTTTTGCAATTACGAAATGGCTGATTTTGCGTTACGCGCCATTGGGATTTTTTAAAAAGGCCGACTAGATAGGCTTGTTTGTCTCTGTGCATTCAAGGATCGCACTAATCAAACTGTAAACAATTTGAAGGATAGAACTAATATTATTTGCGGCATCGCGTACTGATTCAGTCACGTACAGAGACTAATTTTCGTTATAAGTTTAGTAAGACAAACGGACATTTGCCAATGAATTTGCAGGTAATTTTGGCAGGATTCTAACTCTACTGAAAGAACAACCACTTTTTCAAAAATTCAAAGGATTTTTCGGATCGAAAGAATACCGGCAGCGCTTTCTTCAGGTATTATAAGTTCATATCAAGTGACTTTAGTAGTTTGAAATTATTAATTTAATTATTGTTTTATAATTTCGATTACTACATAACGCAATTATTCTTTAAGAAAAATAGGCATCATTTGTTTAATGTCAATGTAAATAAATATTTTTGTATTTTTGTATATTGGATTTTAGGGGAAGCAATTGCAGATTTAATTTGTCAATTTTTTCCTTCTTAGTGGGTAGAGCGAAACACTGTCATAACAACAAAAGAAAAGCACATACTATACACCATACAATACATTAGTGCGTCGGGCATTCATTATTTACAATAGCATAGAAAAAGTTTAAGTGCGTGGATGCATATTTTAAATAATACAAGGTGGCCCAAAAAAGTGCGGCGCCATAAAACTTTTTTTTAAAGACACACCCTGTTTTTATTGGCATATTTTTGTACCTTTTGGTGTTCTCTCTCATGTGCCCGATCAAGTTTATAAAGAACGATCAACTGACAGCTACCTATTAAAGTCTGTAAAGTGATAAATAAACATCTAGATATTTTTCTGTGTCTGTCTATGATATTTCCCAGTACTTTTTTAGTTTAATGAGGATATTAGTGGTTTTTGGTGAATATCTCTAAAACCATTGAGGATTTTAATACATTCATAATAACAATATACTTGTAGTTAAATTCAACAATAAATAATGAAATAAAATGTGTGCCATTTAAAAATACGAAAAAAAGCTGATTCGAAAGTTGCAACTTTTGCAACCAAATTTTGACCACCCTGTATGAAATAAGAAAACCCTGTTTATTATCCGAATATTATTTGACCTCTAATATTTTTTTTACACTGCGTAGATGGAACAAAACTAATCAAAACTAAACAAGACAGATGTAACAAGATTTTTTCTAATTTTTCCAAGCGCGCAAAACGATCTTTTCATCTTTTTTTTATTTATTTATTGCTCCTGCAAATAAAAAATATTTTGGCACATAAGAGAAAACACGAAAAAGAACCTAAATGTGCCAAAAAATACAGGCCGTGCCATTTAAAAAATATATGTTAGTTATGATGTTACACTTTTTTCGACCCCCCTGTATATTTTAAAATATTTTTTTAAATTGCATCAACCCAAATTCTACAACGTTTCCTACTACACTAATGCATCCTGTATACTGCTTTTGAAGAAAAATTAATTGCATTTCCCACTTTGTATATCTTGTTCCTTTTGAAAATCGATGAAATCGAATTTTTCGAAAGTATCTGCGCTCATATAAAAATTTTATATCTCGATAACGGTAGGTCCTGTAGGATTGATGTTGGTACAGAAATGATCACCGTCGAAAAAAAAAAAATTTTTTTGTCTGTCCGTTCTCCGTTCTCGTCTCTTGGTTTTTCCTAAATAACTTTCGAACCGTTTTAGCTACAAAATTGAAATTTACCTCCTTTTTAACTCTCCACGAGGCACATAAGCTTATAAGAAATGGCCCTGATCCGACGCCAGTATCCATCTTTTTTTCGCGATTTTCGACTGTTTTTTGGACCTTGCTATGAAACACGATATGTGTTCGAAATTTGAAGCAATCGACTTCATATTTGGCACATATATGCAGCTTTGCCCCGTAACAGAAACCATTAAAAATGGGGGGCTGGGGGATCGGGAATTATTTAAAAAAAAAAAATAAAATCGCGTGTGCAAGGGTCTACAAAAAAAACATTTTTCAAAAGCGGTTTACAAGACCGAAAAAGTTCTTGAACCAGAAGACGCAGTGGAAACGACTCCATAAACTTTTATTCTTGACAATTTTTCAAAATTATACAAATTCAAAAAAACTGAAAAATGGGTTCTCCTATTATTGAAAATTGGCAATAATTTCAAATCTGTGTTTTAGATGTCAGTTTCTTTTACATGACGATATAGCCCATAGAGACAGCTTAAACTTTTGTATTTACGGTATTGTACAGGATGTTCGCGATATTCCGTGCAATATTAAAAAACATAATAAGTACTCCAAATTTGCAGCTACTGACTTCAGACTTTAGAGAGAAGTAGAAGTCTGAACCCGCATTTAGACTCTTTAAATTGGGAGCAATAAAATAAGGCAAAGTATTTTTTTTTAATTTTCAGAAAACAAGTAGTTTTTTGAAAGCCATTTACTCCATTGGAAAAATTCGGATACCAGGATACTAAGGAGATCCAGGGCTATATCTTCTATTTCGAACATTGTTGGAATTATATACAGGGTACGTCGTTTGTCGGCAAAAAATTCTAATAGATCCTAGAAATGTCCGCTTTTGTGGGTAAATTAATGGCCATACATGAAAAACTTTTAAAGATGTGATAATTTGATATGACCAGTATCGTAAACTGTGTCGAGAGAGAGTTTAAGGTTTCGTGTATAATACAGGGAACGCAAGATTTGAAAAACTATAATTTTAAATTGCAATTAATTACCAGTTCAAATTTTGATATTTACCGAAGTGTGCCGTAACTTTGAAGTTCGAAGAGATGTGAAGGACACTTTATACAGGATGTATTCACAATCAAATTACATCGATTTTGTGAAAGTTCCATAGTGGTCCACAGGAGCACGATAGAAAAACATTGCGTCACTATAGGACAAAAATCCGCGAAGCGCCTTCTTTTTGAAATAAAAAGCGCTACGAGCTGCGAACTTGCCCCGCCCACCGACGATTTTTCAAAGCAATCCTGTTTGGTAAGGACTAATTGTATTTGTACCTGCTGCTAATATTAATAGAAAAAATTATTCAAGAACTATCCCCAGAAAGAGTGGTTTTTATACAATTTTCTTCTTAAATATTATTACTTTCAAGATATAAAGTTGAGTGTAGTGCTCCATGGGACACCTCGTGATTTTTTTTCTTTTATATTATTTAACTGTCAAAAATGGGGCAAAATAAAATCCGGGCAATAATTTTCGATTCTTGAAAGACAGATACGCAAAATCTGGAAACATGCCAAACTTAATCAAAATATGCAGTAACTGTTTACACATTACTGATACAACTACAGTTCATTATAGTATATGTTCCCCCATATCCGCTATTATAATTAGATATTTAGTTTTAGATTCTTCCCAATTAATCATCTAAGTGAGCGAGAAGATGGACAACAGTAACAGTAATTTGCCGACAACTAAGTAAAGTGGCCAATCCCAGTAATCGTTAAAACCAGGAAAAGTCCACAACTATCAATGATTTTTGGATTTGGTAGGACATGTTGATGGTCTATGTAGTTTTCGCAAAAAACAACTGTTAAAAATTTTGAACTGAAACGTTTTTAAAATCAATTAATCAAATGACCAGTTTGTTTCCTACGAAGCTTAATTTTCAACCTAGCGATATTGGCAGAATTAGACTGAATATTTAAACTCTACTACTAAATTGTTTTAATCACCTGCGAATTTTCTCATGAGGCTAAAGAAATGCTTTGGTAAGGTGAAGCTAACAATTTTAAGCGGCATGCAATTCCAAATGTACGAGCTGTAATCTTTTGAAACACTACCGATGTATAGCAACGAGGTTGCGATAATTAAAAACAGACTTTACTTATACTTATTTATAGGTGCCCGTGATACAAAAACCTTATCTCCAACAAATCGGAAATCCTAAATTGATTGCAATATTTTGTTTTCGAAAATTGGGCCAAGGCCAAATTATTTCCAATTGCAGGAATGCGATTTTTTGCCTTTCACGACAAATGCAATAACCTCTCCAAAAAAATTAAAAATAAATAAATAAAGGGACGTTTTAATTGGTTTAAACATTTGCACACATATCATCGAGCGTGTTATCGGCATTTGCTATTCCGTTCCCACAATGCAAACTTGTTTACATATAAATACGTATTGACTTAACAACCATGGATTTTATGTCACAGCAAGCAAGGGTCAAAAGACTTTGTTACTAGATGAACAACTTCCTCCTCGATCTTTGACCCTTCATTTTTGCTTGTTTATAGGCGACGGCAATAATGGTTAACATTAGCAAGCGCTTTGCCATGAAGCGAGCTTTTTTCGCTAATAGGTTGCGATCTTTGAACGTTTTATTAGATTTTTTTTTTATTTTATGCATAATAAACATTTAGTGTCGTATTCCTACTTAAAACAGTTTATTTCGTATGGCACTTGAGGATAAAAAAGGTATTTAAGGATACTTTTAGAAAATAATCGAAGGCTCGTGTGAACTCGACCAAGACAGGAAATGTATCTAAATCGAGACTAAACTATTTTGAGACGATTTATCGCCAGATATTTCCACAATACAACCGGTTTCACCGTTACGTTGCGAATACAGAATTATTCAAAATATAGAATACAAATACAAAATATACTTTTGCACATATCATTTTGTATCATTTTTACGCAATGCACATGAATTGCGATTTAGTGCGATTTTGATGAAAAAAAAAAAGGTTAACAAAAGTTGCAAATTTTGTAATACCTATCCCATAATATTCCAGATAGGTTTTTTTGCTTCAAGAATATGGCAGGGTCAATTATCTTGCAGCTTATCTGGGCACCGTAAAGTTTCCAATATCCCATTTATGTTTGACGCCACCATAAACAATATGCAAATATTGCGCGCGCACAATAATGGGGGGTAAACTTGATTGTTCTCCCTGCTCATGAATAAAAAAAAGCCTTCTTTCCTTTCAAAAATATCACGCCAGTAGTTTTTAACCAATCAAAAAGATCGAATACTGGAAAACATTTTCGAAAATAATTAGGGATGTTATAAGTGACAATTCCCCCCCCCCCGACCTCACATAAATTAAATCTTTCTTGTAGAGGTACCATTAAAATTTCTGAATTTTGGCCTTTCCTGTAAGTATATATTTTTGAATGTATTATATTATATTACATAATGTAATTGAAGATTATATTGTTATTACAGTTTCCTCTGGACAAAATACGATGATAGAAATATCGCGTAATATTTTATATTTATTGCGGAGATTTTAATTTTTGGAATGCGATATTTATCACCAGGAAAATGCGCAAAATTTGATAAAATTCAAAAATGTTATAAGTGACAATTCCCCTCCGACCTCACCCAAATTAAATCTTTCTTGTATAGGTACCATCAAAATTTCTGAATTTTGCCCTTTCCTGTATGTATTTTTACTTTTTAATGTATTATATTATATTATATTATACAATGTATTTGAAGATTATATTGTTATTACAGTTTCCTCTGGACAAAATGCGATGATAAAAATATCGCGTAATATTTTATATTTATTGCGGAGATTTGAATTTTTGGAATGCGATATTTATCACCAGGAGAATGCGCAAAATTTAATAAAATCCGGAGGTGGTATTGATGCAAAAGTTGAGGTCGGAGGAAGAATTTACAAATTTTAGAAAGTCATAACTTTCCCCAAAATTAACGAAAATTTCAAATTGGTTGTGCAAAATTCAAAGAAGCCAATATGGTAATGGTCGTTTGTCGATATGGGGAAACATCAAGTTAAAACATGTGCTCGTTTGTGTATTTGGATATTGTTTATGGAGACATTGAATATACAGGGTGATTCACAGTGAGTGTCCTATTAGACGTTTATGGAGAATGACTTACTGTAAAAATCTGAGATGTTGATTACTTACGTAAGCAAATATGGGCTATTACACGCAGCCATGCGATGTTGACAGATATATTCGTAACCTATCTCAACTTTCATTTTTTAAATGGAACACCCTGTATGTTATTACGTTTTTAAAGTCTGCGAAACATTCTGGCACTTTCTTATGTGGCTGCGGTTTCCTATTAAATTAGTTTATCATAATATAGTTTGATAGTTAACTTATCGCGCACAGGGCGTTCGCAAGACATAAAAATTCATGTTACGTGGCAATTTTAAACGGAACACCCCATATTTTATATCGGCACGTAAAAGAGCAACTAATTTTCCATCTAAAAGTACTACAAAATTAAAGTAATCGCATTTCATTCGGATTTCTCATTTTATCGCGTTTCCATAGTTAAAGGTTGCATTTATTTGAGAAAGCAAGATGGCACATAATTATGCAAACGCAAATATTTTGTATTTGTTTTACATTTATGGTGAGTGTCAAAGAATTGTTTCAAGAATTTACAATCATGTTTGAAAACCGATGGATAAGGTGTCTAGGTCCATGGAATTGCGGAGTATTCCATTACCACGTAACATTAATTTTTAATATGTTGCCAATTGGGCCTTATGTTATGAACGCCCTTTGCGCGATAAGTAATTTAATAGTGATCCGCAACCAAAAATTCAAGTGTTGTCAGGTTATTGGTTGCCAAATTTCTTTAGAAGTATTTTTATCTTCAAAAGTGTTTAAGATGTGTATGGTACATGTTACACAAAAAAACCTTCAGAATGCCTCGCGGAATATAAAATGTAATAATATACAAGGTGTTTAAAAAACAAAAGTTGATATACGTTAATGGTATATCTGGCAACACTGCATGGCCAAAAATATTTTACATAGGTAGCTCATATTTGCTTACATAAGTAACCAACATTTCACGTTTTTACCGTAAGTCACTCTCCAGAAACATCTAATAGGACACTCACCGCGAACCCTGTATATGGAGGGCAACTTGACGGAACTGCTTATCTTCTGCACTATTCCAGATCGAACTACCTGTATAACACGTTGAAGTGTTTTATTTGTGTTGTTTTGGCAACTAAGTAGGTATATAAAAACGTATTACCTGATTTACATAGCATTTGGTTATATTTCGTAATTTTTTTTTAAATAAAATACCATTTTTTAGAAAATGAATTGAATGTTTATTTCTTTGGATTTCTGAACGAGGGAAATTTCACATCGTTTGACATTTTTGCAAATTTTTATTTTTCCGAGGCCAACTGCGGGCAATCGGTGACTGGAAAAACTCTGGATTTTCACAACTGCTTTTACCTCGATCCTGTCCATCGAGCGGTGTCCGTCGATCGGATAACCAAACACAAGCTCCCGCGAACCGTCAAACCGTCTCGGCGTACATCATCCCGATAAAGCACAAACTGTCAAGAAACATAATCTACGACCCAGGCGCGATGAGAGACACGCGCCAAAACCGGCTTCCTTCCGCGAAAATCGCACGCGAAATACCGCTAGTTTAGCGACCTACCCTAAGGACATTGGCCGTGGGGCAGGCGAGCAATCATAGTTCATCAGAGCTGTCGTTCCTGACCATACGCAACATCGTATGTTGCGAATATAGTGCGTTAGGGTACGCGGGAGGGGTACGGGGAGGTGCGACGTGAAACTTACATGTATTGTGCGCGGCGGGCGGCGGCGCCGCCGTGTGCAAAAACACGAGTACGGACGAAGTGAATTCGCGACTCTCAATTTCGTTCTTGGTTGAGGTTGGTCGAGGCGATTGCGAATCGCGAATCAGACGACGCGGACAGTCGTCCTGACAACACGGAGATGAGAGCGCGGAGTCCTTCGAGCTGGTTGCGCTGCTCCTGTTAATGTTTGTCGAGTTTTGCCGCGGATCTGTCCAGTGCTTGGTTTCTCTACAGTGTTTTTGTATCCTCGACGTTGGTTGGTTTCGAATGCTAGTGCAAAGTGGTATTTTAACGTTGTAGTTTCGGGGTAAATTCGTATCCGCAGGTGTTGCTCGTGCAACTTTCGAATCAAAAATCGGAGATGGGTAATATGCGTCCAATACAGAAGTAAAGGACGATCCTGGTTCTCAGTTACACCACACCTCACATCTCTTTTTGATATTCCGATCATGGATTTAATTTTTCTTTGCTTTATTTAACCATTTCCGTTTTCACTTTATAATCTATTAAAAAATTGTGTTGTGTACATCTGGATATGCACTAAAGAAATATTGCTGAATTAACGAATAAACAGGTGATGTTTCTTTATTCTAAAAGGCAATTTGTGTGCACCTTAAATTGTTTTATTTCTCCTTTTTATCACAAAAATAAAAATCACTTCTTTTCGAATTTTCATTATCTATTTCAGTCATAGGAATTGTAATTACACTTTTATACCTTATTCCATAGCATAAAACTACTGAAAATATATTTAATTTAGTGCTGATTGAACTTGCTGACGTTTCGCCAATCGTCCTCTTCGCTTCTTCAGAGCTTAACTGAACAACAACCACAACCGATGCAGGAGGTTTTGCAAATCGTATTACAGTAGCCTTTTTTAAAAACAAAATTTGATTTGCTCCTTCAAATACCAACCGAAATCTGTAAAACCTACCCGCAGTGAAATCGTAATATTCACCGATCAGGGTTAAGGTTTTTTTTTACCTTACTGATAAATTTGAAACGTTTCACATACTAATTTCTTAATTAAACACTGAACAATTTTACTGACTTTACTAATATAACCCACGTATTTATGAAGGCCATTGAAATTCGAACCCCACTATTAGCATCCCTGAAACTACAGGACAAACGGGTTCGAATGACACAGAATGAATTGCTGAACAATATTGAATATTGAAAAAATTAAATTTTTTCTAACATTATTTCACAAGATAACCATAACCGGAACACACATTTTTATTGCTTTTCGCATTGCAGCTACTATCACGATCTTCATTTTTTGCCATATTGGATATGAAATTTGGCATTGGCGTTTTATCGTGTCTTCATGGTTTCTCTTTATTTCAGACAGAAATCTTCAATTTTTTAAAATTTAAATTTATTTAAAACTCGGTGCACATCACTTTACATTGCTCATTACACCCAAGTACGTGTTCTACAGAGAGTCAAATATGTTTGTACACTTTATATACATTTTTAAAATTTAAAAAAATCATTGCAAAGTTGAAATAATTAATTGAATTAATTTAGCTTCAATTAATTTAAATATTATAAAAAGACTTGATATGTACTTTATGTGTATTTTAATAATTTATATACATGGGTAAGTAAAGGTTTCTATTATTACATTAGCATTTTCGTCAACAAGTTAATTTGTTACTAGACGTTTAAA